CTTCCCTCCCACCTATAACCTCCCTTACAAAAAAATAATTTCCTTTCCTAAACTAGGTAGGCAGAGATCTATTAGTAGAGTGCTGTGCATGGGCAGGGCCTGACAGGTGTGTTGTGTCAAGAAAGACAGGTGCAAATTTCCTCTGTGTCTGTGTGTGTCTGTACAGTTCCAGACCACAATGCGTGCTCCAGGCTTGCAGAGGTTTATGAATTTATGGGTGCCCTGGTTAATAGGATTGTCCGGGCTAATGGGACCTGGGCTGTTGTTATGTTTTGAGCCCTGCCATGTGAGTTCTTTGCTTGGGGGGGTGGGGGGCGAGTTGGTCTGTGTTTGTTTATTTTTCTTAAGGATGTTGGCAGGCTGCTGCTGAGGCTGTGTCTCAGACTTCTGTCTGCCAGGCGGCTGAAAGTACCCCCACTTCAGGCAGCAGGTGGAGGGAGATTGACTTTCCCTTTGCTTCCCTTTCTAGTTTATGCCTATCTCCCAGGTCTGTGGTGCCCCGAAGGGGGGTGGGTGAGAGCTGTCTTTTGTGTGCGTGTGTGTTTTGGGCAGCCATGGGTGGTGTTTGTAACCGCCAGGAATACCAAAGTCATTTGAAAGTGTTACTGTTGTTAAAGCTTATCTTTCTAGCGTGCTTTCTCCCTGCCCAGAAAGAATAGGTATGTGCATAAACTCTTTCAAGTCATATGTTAAGTACTCTCATAAAGTAGAATGAGCCTGTCATTGTACCAGACATGTGCCAGATGTCCTAGTTATTACTTTGATGGAGAAGGAAAATCTCAAGTACGTGAGAGGTAACTGCGCTTTTCTATTTGAAGCAAGATTCGGGCAGTCGGCTCTGTGAAGAGTTTCTTGCAAGAACTTCAGAGCATTTTCAGAATAAAATGGGCTGTGTGTGGTGAGGAGGGAAAAGAGGAGCATTGGGGTTAACCTGTCCATATGCTACAACATGGACTTGTCTATATAATGGTAAAATAGGGGAAGGTAAGGACTGTGGCTTGATGTAGAGGGAAGATACTGAGAATTCAGTGTAAGCATTATAGCTGGATTATTCAAACTTGACCCTTTAAGTTTTTCTTTAAGCAGGCTACTTCTTGTGTTACATAGAAGTAGGATAGATGGGGAATGGTTTTGTTGGTTGGTTTTGCTGTTTGGGTGATGATCATTGTTTCATGAAAATGAGAAAGTATGTGTATTTACTCTTTAGCCTTAACACATCAAAGTCCCTCCCCCAATACTTTCCTTGGATGCTTTGGAAGTTCTTTCATGTCATCTATGGATATGTCCATTTGCTTTATTTTTAATAGGGGTTATCTGCGCCTGGAACTTACTGATATTCTTATGTGTCCATTATGCAGAATTCTGTTTAGTTAATCACCACCTTGTGGGGAGAAAAGTCATGCATACGTAACATGCATCTTTGTTCTCACTTTATTCATTTCCTAGCGTGGTTCCTCTATAAGTAGCACTTGCAATCTTAAAACCTAAGCTAGCTGCCAGGGTTGCTCTTTATTTGTTCAAAGTGCAAATAGGCCTTTTTTTCAATGAATTTCTTATATCATTTCAGGGATTGTCTTGCATTTTCATCTGGTAATATAAGGAATTTTTAGGTTTAGGATTAACGAAGAAATTATAAAATGTTACTGGTTTTATAATATGAAGATGGATTGTGCGTGACATGTTATTATTGTTGGATTCTAATTAAGTACACGTATAAGCCGGAAAGGACATATACATAAGGAATTTCTCCAACCTTGCTGCCTAGTGTACTCTATAAAGTTTCAAAGGACATTTAGAGTATTTCAGTGTTCTACAAAAAGACAAAAAGCGTAATTGTTTTTTCTTGAGATCATTTATTTACTAATTTGGTGAATTATTGCTTTTTAAATAAGTGCAAACGAATATTTTTGGCATGTCTCAGAAAATATTCTGTGCTCATTTTGCAGGTGAAAAATGTATGGAATTTTTTATAGGATGGAGGAATTTTCAGTGAAATGATTGTGATTTGAGAACTCTATTATAGGAATAGGAATATTATAATAAGATTATTATATTAGGAATATTATAGGAACTCTAATATAGGACAGGAAATTTTGAAGCCTGATGTAAGATTTGACAATACAATCTTAGTTAACTGAAGTATTAACTTGTGTCAAGTGGGTTCTTCACACTAAACATAAAACGCTTTCTTAACCTTACAATAAGCAGAAACATCTCTGAAGGAAAAGTTGCTAATTAGCAGAAATGAACTCTTGAATACAGTGAAGAGGGCAGCTTAGTGATTTGGTGGGGTTGAGGGGGAGAATACCTAAATCAAATCATCTGATTTTTTTTCCCTCCTGAATTACTGATTTTCAGATGGATTTAAAATGTTCTTTGTTAGTGATATTCCACTTGAAATTTCATAACCAGGTTGACCCAAGTAGATTAGTGGCCCATTCAGAGGTTGTTTTCTGTAAGAAGTAAAGTGTAGGCTTGAGCAATTTCTTCAAATAATTTTACCAACAAAGACAGATAATCTAAGTAATCCAAACAGGAAACCATGCCAACCTTACACTCCCCCTGTCTCATAAAAGATTTGTCTGAACTATTTGGATAATTACCATAATGAACACTTCTTTGTCCAGAATCTGCACTCCAGATAGATACGGTAAAAGTTGTGCTCCCCTCCCCCAAATAACTTCTTTATTAAAGTAGAGCACTTAACCACTTTCTACTTCACACACTGCAGTGTTCCTTTGAAATTCTTCACTGGAAATTCTTTTCTAACATGAAGCCACCAGGTTCCTTAGGATTCTCCATGTTATATTATTTGATATTCTTCAGATAATTCAGATTTTAATGAATCTTTTGAAGTTGTTAAAATCTGACTTGGTTATACCTGGATGTGTGTTCTTATCTTTTTCTGGGAAGAATCTGCTATGTCAAGATATTCAGTGTATAGGAATTATTAAAGCATTTGTGTAGTAAGATACCAAATGTATGGCAAAATATTTAACAATAAAAAATTCTATATGGGTTTTCATACCAATTAAAGAGGAGTTTACAGGAATAGAATATGTGTATCCAAACAATAATCCATTTGGGTTCAAATTCTCTATCAGTACTCTTTTTCTGCAGACTTGCTGATATTAATGTTCACAAGTGCTGATCAAAAGGTTTCATATTGCCTGGTTAAACTCAAAATTAATGTGAAGATTAAAATATAATAAGAGTCAATAAAGTTGTAGTTGAAACATTGTGGCTTAGTACAGATGTTGAGAAATAAAGGAATTTCTAAAAATCTTAATGGACAGGATGATATCCGTGATAAAGTCAGTGCATAGCATTCTCTAAATTCTGAATTGGGAAATCCATGGAAGCACCTTTAAAAGTGTTTTTAAGTGATTTAATTTCTATTAGAGTCATTTAACAATGCATTTTCTTATGTGGTAAGTAGGTTCACATGTAGATCTTGTTTATGAATCAAGATGCTGATGAAGTATTACGTCCACCAGTTAGAATTACTTAATCTCCTCTCTTGCCTTCATGGGTTATGGTCCCAGTGTCTACTACTGCATACCTTTAGTTCTAAGTTTTAGGTCTTAGCTATATAGAGAGATGTATTTATTTGTGCCTATTACTATAATGCCTTGTCTTAGTGGAATATACAGTTTTTCCTATTTGTGCTGTCCTATTTGTTATGTCTCAGCTGGACATTTTACAAGACCTGAAAGTATTTCAATTCTTTTAGCCCAAAACAGAAAGCAAATCATTATCTGATATCAAAATGATGGCTGGTTAAGAGCGGATTGCAAAAGTCAGTTTAGTTTGGTGAATTTGAAGGAAGTTACAGGATATTTTGTTCTTGAAAGACCCAGCAAGCATGTTTAATTAACACCTACTGTCCACTGAAGATGAGAGTATCATGTTTTTCCACCTAGGAAGAGCACAGCCCTCTTCTTGGCTTGGGCATGAGGCAGGGATGCAGCTGTTGATACCTAGGCTAGCTGAGAGGAAATGCAGTTGATGCAGAGGTAAATGGCAGTTGGGAAAGGAAGGATGCCTGGGGATGACCTTGTGCTCATCTCTTACACCAGCCTGTCATTTCTGAGCCTCTGTTGCAGAGATGCTCTTCCCCCAGCAAGGATGGGTAGGAGGAAAATCCAGATTGGGTGTTAAGATGAACAGAGGAAGAAAAAGACTGCAGAAAGTTTGTTCAACATTTTGATTGGAGACTCATGTGCTTTTCAGGTAATATTAAAGAGAAAAGGATTTGCACACAAAAAGAAAAGAGGTAAAATTTTTAAATAATGGCAATGGACTTTATTTTTGGAAAGCTGATAGACACACAAAAAAGTCCTCCTTGCAAAGACCTACCCCCAATGTGCAAGTCTTTCTGGGCTTTGAAATAATTCATCCCTTTTCTTGTTTGTCTCGGTCTTTTTCTTTTTCTCACCTGATTGCTACACCCGATTTATCAGATCTAATGTGCCAGTGAAATATTTGTCATTGCATTTTTGTATTCCTGAACGCAGTTTTATTATTGATGTGTGAGGGTTCAAAATCATTCCAAAACCGATTTTGAACCGGTATTGAAGTTCTTAAGATCTGTTTCCATTCTGACTTCAGGAAATTTTATCCTGGGGCATACAAAAAGTATTTTATTTTTAAGCATACAAAAAATATAAAGAAGCATCATATTGCTTGCATGATACTCTAAAACAGGCTTTTAAAAAAAATGTTGTGTCTTCATATAGAGACCAGGAACAAGGAGTGCAGGATGAAATCTTTGTTGCTTAAAAAAAAAAAAAATTAAAAACCCACACATTGTCATCTAAGCATTGAGCATTTTCTTGATTTTTACAGGTTATTTCATGCTGAAATTATGCCTATTTGCATGGATAGTCATTCTTTAAAACTAGCCACAGATGCAGTCCTAGGGAGCACGTAGATGTTTTTACAGGTGAACCGAAAGAGATGGGAGCTGTTCCAAACACTCTGCACGCTGCCTTTGGCAATAGACCCTGTTATTGTGAAGATGTGCTCTGTTAAGCAAACGTGAAGTTTAATATTAGATAAACCCTGTGTGAATAAAATATTTTCATTTTCTTCATAAAATGTTAATTGCAAGCAAAAAGATACGACATCTTATATTTACACAAAATTAGGGGTTAGCCTCAGTAGGTAGTAAGTCACAAAATATGTCAAGTGCCTTTTATAAAATGCAAGGAAGGATATTCTCTTTTTATATTGTGTCCTCAAGAAACAAGAGAAGTTCATATGCAGAGAAGATATTTCTCTTTCCTCGTATATTTTGCTTGATGCCGTTTTCTCCTTTATTTATCTTTTTTTCTTTAATTTGGCATAAGAAATACGATTCACAAATGGTGTATGTTAAAGTTTCCTTAGGCATTTGAAGTATTATTTTGGCAGATTGGAACAGAAGAAAACTGATACTGAAGATGTATTTACCCTTGCCTAACTCAATTTATTGTTCCACATATTGATTTCTAAAATGTGACAATTCCTTCTTTTGCAGCGGGTCCAACTTTGCAATAATTTAAGTGATCAAAAGGACATCATGAAAATGTATCAATATTCTCACACTTGTGTTAAAATATAGCAATAGATACCATTTTTGAATGTGATTTTACTAATAAAAATGCATATCTATGCTAAATAAGCAGACTTGTAAAATGAGTATTTGTGCATTTATTTCAATGTTAAATTGACCATTTATATAGGAAAGATGCTGATGGGAGTGTTCTCCTTCCCATTTCACATACGACAAAAATATTTTAAAATTCAGTAATAAAGGGGGCGTGTTAAGTATTTGCATTTATTTTCAAGTCTTTTTCCTTTAATAGCATTAAAACCACAATAATTTTAATTCAGAAATGGAATTTTTTGTCCAAATTTCACACAGCCTTAAAATTGAACCTTATTTCTTAAGTATAGACCACTTTCATCTTCTTTTGTAATATGAATCTCAGTGCCCCAAATTTAATCAATTGGTTGTCAGAGGCTGTGTTCTTATAATCTACTGTTTCTTCTGAAGATAAACAGTATCATTTTAGGCATTTGTGAAAGAGAATCATATTACTGGTGCTTAAGCAGTTTTTGCTTTTTTTTTTTTTTTTAATCTTAATCCATCTTAAACCAGTGGAGCAGAAATATTTAAAAATGTTTCATTTCAAGCAGAGTGCATAATAAATTGCAATAATTGTAATGTGCCATAAATCCCAGAGCCTATGCATTTTGCATTTGATTCAGGATTGAGGTCAGGAAATTTGGAGAAATTTAAAGAAAATGATTCATCAGTCCTTTTGTTCTGTTGGCCAGGGTCCCGGGATTCTTGAGCTGTGCCCAGCTGACGAGCTTTTGAAGATGGCACAATAACTGTCCAGTGATGCCTGACCATGACAGCACAGCCCTCTTAAGCCGGCAAACCAAGAGGAGAAGAGTTGACATTGGAGTGAAAAGGACGGTAGGGACAGCATCTGCATTTTTCGCTAAGGCGAGAGCAACGTTTTTTAGTGCCATGAATCCCCAAGGTTCTGAGCAGGATGTTGAGTATTCAGTGGTGCAGCACGCAGATGGGGAAAAGTCAAACGTACTCCGCAAGCTGCTGAAGAGGGCGAACTCGTACGAAGATGCCATGATGCCTTTTCCAGGAGCAACCATAATTTCCCAGCTGTTGAAAAATAACATGAACAAAAATGGTGGCACGGAGCCCAGTTTCCAAGCCAGCGGTCTCTCTAGTGCAGGCTCCGAAGTACATCAGGAGGATACATGCAGCAACTCTTCAAGAGACAGCCCCCCAGAGTGTCTTTCCCCTTTTGGCAGGCCTACTATGAGCCAGTTTGATATGGATCGCTTATGTGATGAGCACCTGAGAGCGAAGCGCGCCCGGGTTGAGAATATCATTCGGGGTATGAGCCATTCCCCCAGTGTGGCGTTAAGGGGCAATGAAAATGAAAGAGAGATGGCCCCGCAGTCTGTGAGTCCCCGAGAAAGTTACAGGGAAAACAAACGCAAGCAGAAGCTGCCCCAGCAGCAGCAACAGAGTTTCCAGCAGCTGGTTTCCGCCCGCAAAGAACAGAAGCGAGAGGAGCGCCGACAGCTGAAGCAGCAGCTGGAGGACATGCAGAAACAGCTGCGCCAGCTGCAGGAGAAGTTCTACCAAATCTACGACAGCACCGATTCCGAAAATGATGAAGATGGGAACCTGTCTGAAGACAGCATGCGCTCGGAGATCCTGGACGCCAGGGCCCAGGACTCCGTGGGGCGGTCAGATAACGAGATGTGCGAGCTAGACCCGGGACAGTTCATTGACCGAGCCCGAGCCCTGATCAGGGAGCAGGAGCTGGTGGAAAACAAGCCCAAACGAGAAGGCAGCAACAAAGAAAGAGATCACGGGCCGAACTCCTTACAACCAGAAGGCAAACATTTGGCCGAGACCCTGAAGCAGGAACTGAACACGGCCATGTCGCAAGTTGTGGACACTGTGGTCAAAGTCTTTTCGGCCAAACCCTCCCGCCAGGTTCCTCAGGTCTTCCCGCCTCTCCAGATCCCCCAGGCCAGATTCGCCGTCAACGGGGAGAACCACAATTTCCACACCGCCAACCAGCGCCTGCAGTGCTTTGGCGACGTCATCATTCCGAACCCCCTGGACACCTTTGGCAACGTGCAGATGCCCAGTTCCACAGACCAGACAGAAGCATTGCCCCTGGTGGTCCGCAAAAACTCCTCCGACCAGGCCGCCTCCGGCCCCCCCGCCGGCGGCCACCACCAGCCCCTGCACCAGTCGCCTCTCTCCGCCACTGCGGGCTTCACCACGTCCACCTTCCGCCATCCCTTTCCCCTTCCCCTGATGGCCTACCCATTTCAGAGTCCCTTAGGTGCTCCCTCCGGCTCCTTCTCGGGAAAAGACAGAGCCTCTCCTGAATCCTTAGACTTAACTAGGGAGACCACGAGTCTGAGGACCAAGATGTCATCCCACCACCTGAGCCACCATCCTTGTTCACCAGCACACCCACCCAGCACCGCAGAAGGGCTCTCCCTGTCGCTCATCAAGTCCGAGTGTGGCGATCTTCAAGACATGTCCGAAATCTCACCTTACTCGGGAAGTGCAATATCCTTTTCTTTTCCCCTCGAGGAAAACAAAACAAAACAAAACAAAACAAAGGCTTCCCCAAAGGTCAGGTTTCCACAATATATAGAAGGACGTAGATTAGTATCTTCTTAGGAATGCAATCTTTCCCATTATTCAGAGTAATAGGCTTTTATCAGCACACGTGCTGCGCTCCTGATTGCACAAAAGCTTCACAGGAAACCCACATCTTTGCAACTTTCACAAGTTGTTAATTGCCTCAGAGAGCTGGTATTTAATATGTGCTTTTCCAGCAGTGCTTTTTCTGCTATTCTTCCTGTATTCTCTCTCTCTCTCTTTTTTCTTTTAGGAGTAGAGTCAGAGATGGACCAAAAAAAAAAAAAAAAAACTCATTGTAATAATGAATTCTATCAGATTGTTTTTAAGGTGTTAAGTTTTATAATGGAGTCAGGAGAAAAGTCAGTTTTGAGATTCCCTAAGATTCCATAAGAAGAATTCTCCCTTTAAACCATCTGCAAGGCTCCTGGGCCGCGTTAAGAAGACCTGATTAAATCTTAGGAAGAGCACTTTACTGGTGGGAGGCTTCAGTGGGAGAAAAATGGACATGGGGGCGGGGCGGGGGGAGTCAGATTCTCTCTTTGATCTTTAAGTGAGACGTGGTTTGTCGTTGGTGGTGTTTCTTTAAGGAAATATACAGGTACTGATGTATTCAGACGGTATTGGTCTCTCTCTCTCTCTCTCTCTCTCTCTCTCGTTCACCCAAGGTCTGTTCCTTGGGTCTGGTGCAGCTGCCTCTATGCATGATTAACCTCTGTTCAGCCATACACAGAAATCTTTTGTCCTAACATACACAAAGCAAATTATTTTGGAAAGCGAGAGAGCACAATTAAATATAAAACTCAGCTGTATTCGACTTAGAAATGGCTCCTTTTATGACTCTTTTATATTTTGAACCTGACTTTTAAGTGGAGTTGCCAGTTATATTTTTTATTAGACCTATCCTGAACTCCAGCTATTTTTCACTGACTTTTTTTTTTCCTCTGTAGTTTGGTCCTTTCAGTCAATTTTTTAAAAATCTTGTGATTGTTGGTGTTTTGGGGTAGTCGAATAGTAGCATTTGGGGGCAGGTAGAGGCGTGTTTCTTTTAGAATCAATTGCCAGATGGACATAAAATTTAGCAATTAAGTTGGCTGTTGCTAAATTGAGGATTTTGAGCAATTGTCCTGATGACTAGAGATTGGCATTTTAGTATCTAAGCCCACTCCAGAGGCTGCCACGTAAGTGCAGAGTCCCAGCTATGGTGGAAATACATTTTTCTATGTAGGGAAGGCTGTTCTTCTAACCAGCTCTCAGGACAGTAATGAAGATTTCTGATAAGGTGGGCCACAAGTATGAGACCCACTTGGGGCACTTAAACACAGTCTCTTTCCACAGTGAGGAAGAAGAGAATAATGTCATAAGAGGAAGGAAGATAAAGATGTTGAGGATTTAGATATATAAACAGAAATTGAGTCTTGGTTTGGTTGCTGATTTAACTTCTACCTTTCAAAGACCTAGAATGTAATCTACCGGCAACGAATTGAAGCTTCGCCAATCACCATGCCTTGCACATTATAAACAGGCAATAAACATTGGTCAAAATGATTGCCATATAGTGTTGCTGATGAGAAAGGCCAAGCAAGAAGATGCAGTGCCTGGAATGGTTTTCTATCCTTGGGAGGAAGAGCATCTTCTGAGGTTCACACAAGCCTGAGGTCCAGGGCTAGACCCTATTGCTAGACCCTATCTTACTTCATTTTGAAGGCAGTAGTCATGATGGTGGGGTGTTTCTCTCCCTTCCTCTCTCTCTCTTTCTCACAAACACACACACACACACACACACACTCAGAGGAAAGGGACATACCTGTGTTGAGGAATATTTGAAACCAGGTTTCAAAGTCCCATAAGTGCACCACTAAACTCTTTAACCAGTTTATGGGTTTTTTGGGGTTTTTTTTTATTAGACTTTTCATTGTAACCAGATCATTATGCCTGTGCCTTTTTTTTTTTTTTTTTAAGTTGGGTCTTCTAGGAAAAAAATCTTTTAGATTGCTTTAAGTGTTGGCTACATTCATTGTCTCATGCTCTCTAAATCCCCTGAGGAATTTAGAGGATTTGAATTGAAAGAAGTTCCTTTTATTTCTATACATATCAAAGGCTTTAAGGAGAATATAGTTTCTTCTTCAGCTGAATAACTTCCCTCTCCTACCAATATAAGAGTCTGTTGAACAGGGATGGCTTGGAAACACCTGTGTTCATATGAAATGTTGCTTACACCTGGAGTAGTTTCTTTCATGGAGCTAAATAATTTTGGCCTCTTGTTGCAGTTAATGGTTACATTTTCCACCTTTTGGCCTTCTATCCTCTGTTTCTTTCCCCTCGATCATGCTGTACTTTTTACCATTTATCCCACTGATAGATTCTTTCTCGGGAAGAAGATAGGCAAGCAACCCTTTCTATAATCCCCACGTTTCTGAAGCCAATGAGGATCTGAGTGTTTTGGGGGAGACTGGGTCCACTGGTCTCCTGTCTCCATCCTTGTGTGGCAATGAGTTCTTCCCTTGATTTACCCAATGGCATGTAGGCAAAATTCTCAAAGCTTTTCGTTTAAAGAATTCTCTGGGAATCCTAGAGAGTGGTGTCTACTTCAGTTTTAGGTATATAAGGCCATCTTAGAACCTGTAGTACAGTTATTCCTAGGAAAAAATTCAATAGACATGAGTAGAAATGGGATGAAATGATACCTCTATGATTGTCATTATTATGTTTTTATTTGTAGTCATGGCTTTTCAAATAGTAATGAATAATTTAATTCTTAAGGAATGATTCTTCCCACTTCAAAGGGCATCATCTGCCTCTTTGAACAAAGTAGCCAAGATAAGAACTATTAAGAACACCAGCTTATCAGATAAATCCATTCTAAGTTCAGCACATGAAGCATATGTAATCTATATAAACGTGATACCTCATTATCCTTTCTAATCGAAAGGAAGTAGTGAATGTGGGCCTGTTGAACTCAGTGTCAGTGCACCTGCTCCAGGAGCTCACGTCTTGGATATTAAAAAAAAAAAAAGTGTTCGGTATCTTTGCAAATGAATCTATTTAATCAAATATTAAGTTTTATTCAAATTGCAAAAGAAAGAGCCAGCCAGTTGTTTTTCTTCATGATGTTCCTTGTCATTCATCCTCTTTGCATCTCAAGAAAAATAGCCTTGTGTAGGCCTCAGACATTTGCATGCACCCAGCTGAAGCTTGAGAGTAGTCTTATGAGCTGAGAATAGTCTCATGAGCTGTTAAGATGTGCAGGTGAAGAAACTGAGCCTGTTTCCTGTGACAGCCAGCGTCCCCAACTTGACTGTTGGGGAAAATGTTTAAAACACTTCAAATTTAGGAAAGGAAAATTGTTTGGTAATTTGAAACTAAAATCCAACTGGAAAACATGGATTAAAAATGAATTTCTAATATGTGAAATAATCCATGGACATTTTTAGAAGTCTTGTGGGGCCACAGTCATTCTATTAGCTGTATTAGCTACGGGGAAAACATTTATATGAAAGACTGAGAGACTCTGGGTTCCTACCCCCCAAAAAATTATTCAGTAAATTCTTTTTTTTTTTAATTTCCATAAGTGACACATCTTAGGCGTTCAACTTCTTAATGGAGTAACAGCTCGTTCTATCACTTTGATTAAATGAGACAGTCTAGATCCTCTCTCCCCATTTGAGGGAGAAATCCTCTTGGAAACAGCAAATCAGAGCATAAGGAGACAGCTAAAAATTCTTTGGGTTTCAGAGCATTTTAGAAAATATAAGTAGCCCCAATCCAGTTTGGTTGGAAGTGCAGCTGGTAAAATCTCTAGCCACAAGTCGGAGTTCAATTGGGAAAAAAAAAAAAGAAGAAGAAGAATTCGCTTCCTCCAGCCCTCACCACATGTTGTTCTTGCATTTGCCTTTTTGCTGGCCCTGCTCCTCGCCTGCCGCTGCTGTGTAGGTAAGGTTATGTTGTGCTTGGTAAACAGACGACACTCAGAGTCTCAGGTTGTTTGAATCGCCCCTTCAGGTTCAGCTGCAGTATCCTACTTCTCTGATCTTTTCTATTCCTGAGCAGATGTCTTTCATTAATTTATGGATTTATCATCTTTTCTTTTTTTTTCCTTTTTCTTTTTTTCTCTTTTCTTTTTTTTTACACCTGGCAGCTGTCTCAAGTTTCAGTAGTTATTGTCTATTTTGCATTACACATAGAATTGAATGTCATCTGTCTTCACAAAGCTATGGCTAAGAGAATTGAGGCAAAGCCACATGAGCTGCCGGGACAGATCTTGTTTGCGTTCCATCCCCCTCACCCCACCCCCCCCCTTACCTCCTTAATATTTATTTGTGCTCATTTTCTTTCCTGGCCTTGAATGGAGCTTAGCTCGTGTTCAGTACAGCTGTATGTTTACTGAATCTATTCCATCATGAGTCATTGTGCGTGTGTAAGTATCCTGGAAACAGCTAGTGCTTTCTTGGAAGAACAGTTGCTTTTCAGCACAAGCACTTAAAAGGGAAATTAACCAATTGGTCAGTTCAGATTTATTTTGAGGAGGAAAAAAAAGGATTATCTAACTGTTGGCTTTTAAATGTTTCATTAGCTATTTTTAATAGTTTATTAGAAACATATATTTTATGGGAATTTTATCTTAATTACACGATGAGCAAGAGATAAAGATTTATTCTCTGTTCCATTTCAACGGATCAATTCTAAGTATTACCAACAGGAAACATTTTAAAGCAAAACGGACTTGAGACACTCGAATCAGAATAATTTTTTTCATGAAATAAAAAGCCTCTAAATCCTGATCAAAATAAGAGGGATAGTTTGCTGTTGTTGTTTTTTTAAATAAAAAGAGCTAAAACATCGAAGCATAATGTAAGCGTCCTGAAAACATCAGGAAGTTTTGGTAGCTCTATCACGGAGAACCACAGCAAAACAGGGTGTTTTGTAGGAGACCACATTTTTAACCCTTTGGTACTTTTCCCCTGCTAATAATTCAGTGTGCAAGGTGGTTTTTTCATCTGGCCGTCTGAAGAAAAGACTAGAACCCAGATCTGAGAATGTCTGCTGAAGTTTGGACTTGCCTAAAAACTCTTATCACAAGGCAAGACGAGACAGCTTGCCACTATTATTTCACTTACCCATTTGGACAGATGGTCCTGAAGTGTGCTGGGCTCCTTTAGTCTTCTACCGGTCTAATGGAGGTTACTGGAGGGCCTTTCAGCTCTTTCCTTGGCACAAGAAGTATGTCAGTCATAAATTATCGTCTTTGTGATCATTAAGGATCTGAAACAAAAACACAAGTTCAGTTAAGCTGCTTTGGCTTACAGACAGAAAATCGAAATTTCTTCCTTCAGTCTGTATTGTCCGTGGCGGGGTGGGGGGGAAGCACAAGATTTAACTTTTCCATTTACAAACCAAGGTGATCTTTGAAACATTGCATGATGTTAAAGGGAAGGCTAATTGAGCCAATCCTCAGCAGAATATTTGGTTAAACACCCTGCTATAAGTAGTCAAGAGCTTCTCAGTATGAATTTGATTATGCTTCTGTACTAACTTCCTGCTTTCTCTCTCTTCCTAAGACTGGTCACGTTGTTCTTGATGGAGGCCATTTAGAAACCTTGACTTTTCCTAAATACGTGCATTTTTTTTTTACCTTTTTTTCACCAGGTGTGGCATTTTTGTTGCCTAGTAAAGCGTGTGTGGGTGCGTGTGTGCACACACAAGTGCAGATTTTCTTTTCTTCCTTATTTTTCCCATACTCTCTTTTGAGAGAAAATCCTTAGAGAAGCTTCTAGGAAGGACCCTTAATTGACCTTGTGGGGGACCACATTGATTTTCTCCACGTGCATCTTCATTTCTGATAAATTATAAAGCCATTAATTTGCTGAGGAAATGGCAGGGCCAGGCTGCGGCGCAGATGTGACCAGAGCCATCCCAGCTCTGAGTCTGCTGAGGAGTGCCAAGAATCTGGGGGAGAATCAGGAAGCCTGGATTGTTATGGTTAGCCTCACATTCTCTTGGGAACTGTTTTAGTTGCTGCTGTTTACAGATCTAAAAGGTAATGATGTTTCCAGATAAATAGGCCTTCTTATTTTGGGTAAGTGGCCATTTATTGATCTGCTAACCCACATTTATTGATTTGTTAGCCCCAACCACTGTGCCACTCTCAAAGGAGTTAACTATAAATCCAGGAGAGGCAAATTGTATTTGGTTTTGGATCGTTGCTTTAACAAAAGCGACACCCCCTCCCTGCGCTCTCTGTGCCAAAACTACCCCTCCCAAGTTTTAGCTATTATTCAAAAGGAAACAATTAAAAGGATATAATAATAAAATAGGAAGAAAGTGAGTCAAGATGCTCCATTAGTTTAGCACTAAAAGGTAAAATATGAAGCTTGCCTGACAGTGTTCAAAATAATGCATTTTGTATTTTCACGCACATTAGGATAATAATTTGATGTAAGCTGCAGAGTGTGGAGAGAAGAACAAACAGAACTGTAATTGCAAAGAAGAAAAAAACTCTCACGATAAGAGTTGTACAATACATGTTGGGTGCATTTGTCTCCTTAGCAACAAGTGAACGTATAGGTAGCATAAGGACCTCGAACAGGGGGAATGTTTTGCCATCCTCCCCACAGAGCCGCCAAGAATCTGCAGCCACATTGTGCATCCTCACCATTATACTTGGCAGTTTCTGACAAGCCATGGTCACTTTGAGCAAGGGGCAGCAACGTAGTGATGGATTCCGTGGCCGGTGCCATTTACCTTCTAGAATTTCCCCGGCTGCTTGATGGGCCTCCAGGTTCTTTCGGGGAGTGGGTGGTGGGTGCGTGTGTTTAAGACATTGTTTTCCTTAACCAAATGCCTCCTACATGCAGGAAGGATTGTCACCCAATCACTTGAAAAAAGCAAAGCTCATGTTCTTTTATACTCGTTACCCCAGCTCAAATATGCTGAAGACCTACTTCTCCGATGTGAAGGTAAGGACATTTTTCATCAGTCGCTTTTCAATTTCTGTGCATGTGGTCGTGATTCAAACTCTTGGAAGTTGGTGGAGATGAGTGTGAGATCAATCCATGAATACACCTGTGTTACAACTGATGCAATGCACTTGTGTTTTTGTTGGAAGCCGTGCCAAGCAAAGATACCCCTTAAGACCAGGAGACTGGTATCAAGTCACATGGGTTTCCAGTGTGATCAGGGAAACTTAGCCTCTGGCTTTATATGTCTTAGTAACTTCTTGGAAGAAATTTCAGCCGGTCCTGGATGGGTGTGCTTTAGAGAATTTTTTTTTTCCCTCCCCTCAGCAACAGTAAACTGTTTCTGTTTTTGTTTCTGTTGGTTTCCCCATATTTGTGCTTATGAAAGCAAACTCTAGCACCTCTTTTTCCCCCCTCTGTCGAAAGGAGCGTACATTGAAATTCTCTATGCAGTAGCTGCTTAAAAACAAAAGTGATGATTGTCTCTTATTTACAACTTAATTTGTTGTTGATGTAGAGTACACTGAGCATAAGGAGAATGAATAAAGTGACAGATTCAGGACACATTATTCAAATGAGGATATGAAAGCTGTCGGCCTACAGCTGCAGCCTCCCTCATTCTACAGAATATGGGGACCTCCTGGTTCTGTGTGCGTGTGGATGTGTGTGTGCGCGTCTGTGTCTGTGTGTGGGTTTTAAGTAATTGTTTGCAACAACTTGATGTTGTGTTAATCATCTGCAACTTTTTAAAACATAGATTGGGTTTTGATGATGATAATCACATGCATGGTATCATTATCCAAGGAACTTGATAAACATTACATTAGCTGAGATTAGTTTATTAGGGTTGGGTGCTTTTCCCCCCACCCTCCACTGCCCACCCCCATATGTACAAGTTCTTATTCCTGCCACTGAGAACTCAGGAGCTGCCAAAACAGGCTTTGCTTCTGCCCCGCTCCCTCCACGCAGAGTGTTTCGTGCCCCATGGCCCAGGGGCTGTGTTGGCCCCCTTTTGCAGGCCAACTCATTTTCGTTTCCTTCACTGATGTTTTATTTGGCCTTATAAGAAAAGTTCTGTTTTCCCTCCTGTTTGCTTTTTGAATTGTGTATCAACTTCAGCCTTTTATCTTCCTCCTTCCCTGGCTGAACTCCTTAAGTGGAAGGCATGTTTTCTCCCCGCTCAGGGCCAACAGACTGGGCAGGATGGGAAGGCCCAGAGAGGCAGTAACTTGAGAGGTTGGTTGAGGATCATTAAAGTACAGAAAAGGCTGAGTGACACAGTAGGCCAGGAAGAGGGTTTGGACTTCTTGGGGGACCATCCGAAACAGACACCAGGGAGGGAATTTGTCAACTGGTTGAAGACTGGATAGCTTCTGGAGCCTAATGGAACCTGGCAGAGTTCTTTCGGGGGTGAGGAGTGGTCCTCTCAACACCCTAGTTCCAGGAAGAAGGGAGGACATGGAGGAGAGGGAGAAAGTGTTACCGTGTACGTGTGTATGTGTGTGTGTGTGTGTGTGTGTGTGTGTGTGTGTGTATCTAGGTGCCCATTTTACTTCCTCCACTCTCTTAGTGCAATGATCTGCAGTGTTGTGATATAATAAAGACAATACCTTATATTATTTAGATAGTGCTTTTCATCAGAAGGAGGCCATAGAGCTTTACAAACTGCATCCATAGGGATCTCTCACCTACCACTGAAATGCAGCCACACGGAGGGTGGGAAGCAGGAGCCATGCCGAGCCCGCAACACCATCCAAAAGTAGCTGTAAATGTTAGACACATTCGTGGGCTGGGGGAGAAGGGCACGGGTAGGGGAGATTGTTCATCTGTAATCTTTATAAACACTGGGCAGTGGAAACTGACAAGAAATTGTTCCTCTCCCTTTAGAATACATCTAGTAATTCAGCTTTGCAAATAATCACTATGTAAACAACAATTAAATACCGGGATGAATATTTTATTTTAAAAAAGCACTAATATTCAGATTATAGATTCTATCCATACTCTATCCATACTGGGAGAGAAGGCTGTTAAAGTATACGTGAGTCTGGTTAATTCCCAATTATCCACTCTAATGGAGGGGAAACAGTAGGGCATATAATGCATAGCAGAAAATCACCAAAGGTCATTTCTCTTTTATTTTTGGAATGAATTATACATTTTTAACTTTGCTAATTATGTTTTTTCTTTGGCTACTAATAAATGAATTTGTATTCCCTGAGCTTATGCTGATGAAATTGGAAAGGCATGCATAGAAAAGGGAAGGATAGTCCAGGCACGGTGGTCCAGAAACTTTGTAGGAAACAAGAGCAGAGCATGCTTGGACTTTTTAATAGTAAGGAAAATCCAGAATTTAAATGCTGATGATGCATATGCTCATACACATGTATATTTATATGTATGTTACAAATATATATATATACATATATACATATATACAGTGGGTATATATATATATACACACACACACATACTTATTTCTAGATATAGATATATAAATGTGGATACTTATTTGCAAGATGGAAATAACTAGATGTTTCTCTACATATGAATATGCTACCCCAAATTTTATTTCAGTGTAGATTCGAGAAAACCACTACAGAATTAAGAGATCCTTAGAAATTAGGGGAAGGACCTTAGGAGTTTATAAGAAGTGACAGCCTGCATCACCTGTCTTGAGAAAGACATGTTCATGTGTCTGTGGACCAAGTAAGACTTGTCGCAGTAACACAAGCCTATACTTGACTGTGGCTGCATTCATCTAATCGGCCCCAGAAGGTGAGCCCAGGCAGGTGATACACCCTGCCTTGCATTTTTCCTTAGGGAGGGATAGAGCGCTTCCCTCTCCACAAGTGACTTCCATTTGGGCAGGAGGTGAATGCTTTTAAATTACTCTGGAAAGAAAGAGGTGGGGGGAAACCTCACAGGATTCAGATGCTGGCTTGGTGAGAGCTGTCCAGCGATGATCTATACGAAGGATGAAACCAGGGCTGACTTGGTTTCATTCCTAGAGTAAGAATCTAAACAAAGTCCCACGTTCTCACAGAGTCCAACTCCATCCCCTCACCACAACATTTAGCCAGACAAAATCCTTTGAGAAGAGCAAGGGGGCAAATGGGCAAGACATGCCAAGGATCAATGGGGCCCCACCATCTTCCTGTGCACTACTGGGTGCTGATTTTAATGTATCAACTAATAACTCTTAGACCACTAACTACAACAGATTCAGTGTCATTTTAGCTTTGAAGAACAGACGCTCACAGCTTTTCAAGCCGGCAGTGTTAAATGATGTATCTCATTCCCTCCACCCCTTGAGTCAACTGCTGCCTAGCCAGATTAAGGTGTCAGATTGATTTGTTTTATACATCTTTTGACCATGCTCATTGAATATTTAGGAAGTTTCTTCAGCCCATATTGAGGCTGAGATGTCCCGTGGGAAGCATTAATCAAAGTCACAGAGACTCACACACTGTGGAAACACAGCCTCTTTATTGTAGCGATTAGTTTTTGCAGTAACACATTAACACACTACAGAGCTTTCCTTTATAGAACAATTGATCCTTTTCTTGTAAGCCACTACAGAACGGGGGGGAAATTAACTCTTTAAAGTTTAACACTTTTTCTCCCCCAGTGTGAATATCTGGAAAAGAGGGGGGGCCTGCCTCTGCTTTTCGCCAGCAACTAAAAACAACAAATTTCAGTGCACTTCTGGTGGAGGGAAACCCAGTTCTCCAAGCTGTTGTGCTGGTCATTTCGCTTGTCTTATGTCGGGGGAGTCTGTTGTTTTTGCCCATTCTTTCTCTCTGGTATTTCCATTCTGTAACAATAAGCTTTAAATCTCCCTTTATGTCCCATTCCTAAATAATGGCAAGTGCACTTACTTTTTTGTCCTCCCCCATTAGGTCATTCATGACCATTCTAGAAAAAAAAAATACCCTTCTATTTTTTTCCTCTACAGTACTCTTGTCCATAGGAGACAATGTCTTGTAACAATGCAGAAGCCTAATCTCCATGTCAAAGCAATTTTCATTCCCCAGTGCACAGCCTGCTATCATTTTGTAATGTTTTGTTTCTTATTCTAAAAGAATTAAAAAGGAACAGTAAGCCGTCACGGGGGCCTGTAGTCCTTATCTCAGTGTCTGGAAATTTGGACAGTGTATTTTACTGCTGAGATAAAATGGAAAGAACTCCAAGTTCAGCAAATCGTAATGGGTTTAAGTTCTATTGAAATCGGCAACCAGAAGATCAGATAACGGGGGTCCTTCAGTTGTCTTTTTAATCGGGTTCCCCGCAAGGCTGAATAGAGACAGAGCAGACACACAGAGTGAAAATATAATTCTTGGATAGGTTAAGTACATGTTTGAACTCTTGCAAGCAGAAGCGATTTGCTGATGACTTAATCATTTTCTGGTCAATTATCTGTAAGGGCCCTTGCAACTCCATGGCAATTATGATGCAAGTTGGCCTTTTGGGAGAAACACCAGTCTCCCTGCTTCTGTTTCCTTGTTCCGTCCATTCTCTGCCATAAATTTTCATTCATTTATTATCTTTGCTAGTACAGAAACAACTTTCTGTGTAGTAATTACAGCCCCAATACACACTTTAGCTGTCATCTTGTTGGGAGTCTGGATGTTCTCATGGCCAGTGTTTGATAAGTGGTCTTTGTTGATTTTTGATGAATGTACATCTTTTTCTGGGGGCCCAGGGAAGGGAATACCTGTGATGACAAAAGGCAGGGGGTTGTCTGTCAGCCCGCCTGATATAAAGCTATGGATTTATTGGTTTTGACTTGGCAAGTTGAGATGCATCTGTCCTTTACCGCAAACAGAGGACTGTCAATAAGAATGGTATCATTTGCAGTGAATCCAGGAAGACATCTTCATTTAAAAGGTCATCAGGAAACCTTGGTAAACAAAGTTTTAAAGCCTAATCATGTTACGGTAACTTGGCATTTAAAAAAAAAAATGTAATAAAGTTTCTGTCTAGGCCGTCTGTGTACTCTGTCTTAGCCACACCTTCCAAACAGCATCGACTCCAACAGAAAGGGGCGTGGGTCTTACCCAATGCTGGCTGTAGGAAGTGTACGAAGAGGCACGGCAGCCTGGCCAGACAGATGTGAGTACCGTGTGCAAACAGAAAGTGGAGTCACAGCTGGATGGCCGTGGGGATCACCCATTACCAAAAAATAAGCAAATGCCAGATTCCTCCCCTTCTGTGTGAAAGCTGTTTTCCAGCATTGCACGAGGCCGCCATGTGATGACACAAATTCTCATTAAAAAAAAAAAAAAAGGAAATCATGCTAGTGGTGAAGTCGCGTGGCTCACCCTCTCTGGTGCAGGTTTCGCCTGCTATCCAAAAGTAGAAGGGTTCCTGTGAAACCTGTCATAAGCCGAAATGGCAGAAAGCGAAGAAGCAATTACCGTCAATTTATATGGAAAAAGTGTTGAGCATTCCCAGACCTGAAAAAATAACCTCTCTTAGACTTTTCTGATACCCTAGGACACATCTCGATAACAGATGCACAAAATAAATCAAGATAAAGCACAGATGCTCACAGACACAGTGCAAAGCCATGGCGGCATGATGCTGAGATGCTGAGCCTGGTTCCTGGGGAAGGAGCTTGGTTGGGCCACTGTTGCTGCTCGGGGAGCATGCTCCCTCCCTAATGGCTCGCTGCAAAGCAAATGCTGAACACTATTTTCCCTTGTCGCTTTGTTTCTGAAAAGCAAATATCCTCTTGGGATCTCTTTCAGTTAGTGAAACCAGGTACCAATGTAGGTCTTTTCATAAAAGCAAAATGGTGGAACGTGAACTTTTGAAAAGCAGGGGAAGCTGTACTTGAAAGTAACAACTCTTCCCAGCACTCTGTGGCTTGAATGCATTTCCATAAAGAAGTATACAAATGCTGTTTTTTCCATTGAAAGATGAAGAACGGTGTTTAGAATGAGATATTCAGCTTCTTAAGGAAAATCAGATTTAGAATGTGAGTTTTCCATTTGAAATGTGGAGGGTTGGGAAGTGATTTCCATTGCTGATAGGTTTTATAATCTCTTATAAATGTATTACTGCTTTTACCCCTCTTGCCACCATTTTGGTGGAATCAAAAACATACTCTGTCCAAGTAAGGAGGAGAGAAGAACTTTAAAAAGACTTCAGATGCTTAAAGAATAAATGAAGAAAATGGCCATGTTCTTATCCTTTCCAACATTTAAATTTGACAGTTCAACAGATGCATTACCTCTCAGCTCATCAAGTGGTTTAGCAATTTCCGTGAGTTTTACTACATTCAGATGGAGAAGTATGCGCGTCAAGCCATCAACGATGGAGTCACCAGCACCGAAGAGCTGTCTATAACCAGAGACTGTGAGCTGTACAGGGCTCTGAACATGCACTACAATAAAGCAAATGACTTTGAGGTAGGAACTCATCTTTATTGTTTGGTCCTCTCCCTTTTCTTTTTTTAAAAAAAAAATTTATTTTCTTTACCAATGTCCCCAAATCTGTTTTAGTCTTGTTATCTCACACGAGCATCCCGCGCAATAGGGTAAGAGGTAGAGCGGCAAGGAGGAGCCCCCGCTCTATGGGAAGAGTCACGGGGGACTGACCCACTCCTACGTCCTTTCCCATTCCCCAGCTCTGCTGCTTGCCTGAAGACCCATGGGCCACAGAAAAGGGAACTGGAGAATTCAGAGAAAATTGCAGCAAGGACCCCACACACAGTGACTCCCTTTCCAGAGAAGAGGTCCCCACTCTAACAGGCCTTTTTGCTACTTAGGTTCTGGCATGTTGACTGAGCTGACATAGGCTATGTGCAATGATCGCTGCAAAAGTTGCTTTCTAAAAAAGTCTAGAAAGGTGGATGGGGGAGTGATGCCGTGGTTTCTACTTTAATCAGCATTTATTTCCTTTATGGAAGAAATGGTATGAGAATTTACTAAGTACGTATTGTAAGAGAGCCATCAACATATTTTTATGGTTTTGTTTCTGTTTTTGTTCTTTTGCGGGGAGAGCCTAGGATGTTTATCTCGCATATGTGTAGCTTCACAAGCATGCCGCGATTTGTTCATACACCCTCACACACACCGTCACACACACACACACACGTATATCTACAACATGCATATTCTAGATACACACAAAGCAGTATAGACGATTCCCAGAAAGCAATAGCTACAGAACAATGAAAGATGCGTGGCTATGAGTAAGGCGTTTCTTTACTGGCTAATGCTGTGCCTCAGCAAACATTTTTCATTGCAACGTGATGACTGTATAAGACAACACTAGCGAATCTCCCAGTCCTCACAAAGGCATTTTGCTGAGCCCTGCTGGATGAGGCAACAATAGTTAGAGGTGAGAATGTGGCAGGGTTCTGCAGGCTGAACCCCTGGTGGTGAGTGTAGACAGGTGGTGGGTAGCTTGACCACGTTAGTCCTTTTCTTGTGTTATCTTGAGGATAGGAATGTTCTTTTCCCCCCATCTGCTCCTACAGGGGACCTTATGTTAATACTCATGCTTTCCTCATGTAGATAGGCACCCAGAAACACCCAGGAAGTTGGCAACTTCAAAGGAAGAGAAGGACATCTTGGTCTATACTTCTCGATGAAAGGGACCTGCCCATTCCTTTTGGGGCCATTCTTCCACTTTTTTTGGCAGCGCAGATCAGTGATGGTGGCTGGTCAAGCACCAAAGGTGGAAACTTAGCCATGGGGAGGTCATGGTTTTCCCTTGAAAGTTTGAACGGTTCTACTGCAAGCCAATTTCTCTTTGTTATCCAAGACGAATATGTGTTTCTTGTCAAAGGTGTTATGAGCCAAGTTTCTCTTTGGCTGTTTGAACACATTAAAAGCGGGGATCCTTCTTGTTTTGCTTCACCATTGTAAAGTCTCTGTGTTTAAAGTCTGTTGTAAGACAGCACTGGTTTACCGTCGTGACAGAACTCTCTAGCAGAATTTCCCCTAGAGCTGGAGAATAGGATTATGGCTAGCCATTTTAAAGAAATCTTATGAAGACTTTCATTTCTTTTTCTCCCCCTTTCTGATAAGTCTGTTGCTCTAAACTTTACCCGGAGAGAATTCAACTGTGTACTAGTGAACTCTTTAGAGCTGATAACGGCAAATATTTGTTTGGCGGCGTGCGTCAAGCTTCCTAAAAGAATTGCCCAAGATTCACTCGATGAGTTCTGCATTTCTGGCTGTGTAATATTCTCGAGAGAACAAATCCTTACGGTGCACATTAGGAGTTTTAGGGTTCTTAAACCTTACCTGGTTGGAATTTAATCCCCTGCTCACAGCACAAGGGCCAAAATGACACAAGCAGGGATGGCTGGCACCAAGAGGTACCCAACAAGCTGCTCCATTTAGCATCATCTAAATCCTCCTTTAATATGATTAACATCTGATATTTCTCTCTTTGTGAATCATATCCACTTCCAGCCAGGACACCTCTCCTTTATCTGCAGTGTCTATTTTAAGACTGCTTCAGTGCAAGGAGTATGGGGCCTGGGGAGCAGTTTTGTCACTGCTCATGTGACTTCAGACAAGTTATTGGTCTATTCTGGGTCTTTTCCTTCTTCAGTAAAAAACCTAGGATCCTTCCGGAAATGTGGTAAGACATAAAGCAGGAACATGGATTCTGGGCTGTTCCCTCCACTCACACATATGCACATACGCATACACACATGCCCTCCGCCCCAGACAAGCACTAAATAGCTTTTCATTTCGCCTCCCAGTTGGGCGCAGAAGCTTCAGATAAGATGATCCCTTCTTTTCTGTGCCTTTGTGCATGGAGGTCAGTGCTTAAGTGAGATGCTTAAAAAGCCACTGGTCTTATCCGTGTAGCTTGACCACTGCGGGCCGTGGCCCACGAGCCACAAGTAGACCCGGCACCTCGAGCTGAATATCTCAGCTGATACTGTGTGTCCTGCTTGACTTTTATATTTAGGCTTCTCCTCTTAAGATCAAGTAAAGTGAATCTGTAGTCTGATAGGAGCAAGTGAAGAGGATGGCCAAGTAGAGAACTGTACACCTTGGGGTTTTTGGGGTTTTTTTTCTAATTTTTAAACAGGGATGAAGCATGGTAGAGAGGTTTTGAAGTTATGGCTACATGTTGCCCAAAGATCCAGTCAGTTTAAAGGACTATATATTCACCCAGTTGAGTATTAGCTGGTCAAATAATAAAACAGCTTATTGATGGCATTTTTAAATTTCTCAATCAGTTGTTTGCAACAGTAACAAAATAGCTAACGTTTATTGGCTGTCCTATACAGTCCTGGGCACTCTTCTAAGTGTTTTACGCGTATTAACTTATTTAGTGTGAGCAATAATAATGCTGTGGGTGTTAATAGAAGAAAAAGTTTAGTCTGCCTAAAGCTTTCTACTATTTTTTAAGTAATTCTAAACTGGTGGGAACAGGTAGAACCAGGGAAAGAGAGAATGAAGCTAACGCTTTCCTTCCTTCCTTCTTTCTCTTCTGCTGCTTGTCTTTTTTTCAGCTTTCTGCTCTGTCTCTGCCTCTGTCATAAGCTTCCTGGTGGCACCTCTGTCACTGCTTAGCCCCACCCCCCTCCAGCCCCTGCTGCTCATGGCTCTCAAGGCCAGAGTGGTTGCTGACCCCTGGCCTACAGGAAAATAAAGCAGATGGGGAAGGTTTATCACTAGCGAGGAGGGAGTGGCTTGAATCTCTCTCCTCCTCTGGACCCCGCGTTTCCTGGCCTTTATGAGTCAGGACCTTCTAAGTGACAGGAGGGCTTGTTCTGCCTTTTGTATCAGTTTACACAATGGCCAAGATTCTTGGCACAGCACTCAGACTTAGTGTGGTGAGAGCTTGAGAAGACCCAGGGGAAGGGGGAGAAGACCCAGACGGGGGAGGGGCCTGCACGCCACCGTCAATCTGTGCTGGAGGAAAAAAAGTTGGCCACCTCACACGGGGTGGGGCATCTGGCTTCTGAAGGTGAGTGTGCGAAGGTGTGCAGGAGAGGGGTGTTTAATTACAGGCTGCATCTTTCACTACTTCTCACGTTTAATGAGATTGGCAACAATAAATTTGTCTTTCCAGGTGTTATGGTATATATTTCCATGCTTCATTCTCACTTCCCTTTGAAGAGGTTCCAGAATTTTTTTTATGGGGAGGGGAAGAAGGGTTGGGATCCCTTCCCAGTTTTTAAATCATACTGATACTTCTGACTTTAGGGGCAGAGGAGTTGAGTTGGATTTTATTACTTTTTTGTTTCCCTCACAACTGTGACAGGAAGGAAGGTAATGATGGCTGTCAGTTTCCAAGGCTGCCCTGCACGCTCCCTGTCCTTCTCCAGTACCAAGAGAGGAGGTGGCTTTTGCCCCTCGGTGCTCAGCCAGCATCCCTCCCAGGCCTACGAGTGGTAGCCATTTATCAGCAGGCAGGGTCCCCGTGCCCTGTAAGAGTGCCCAGCCCCCACTGCCCTCCCTCAAGAGCCAGGTGTGGGGAGGGGAGGCTGAGAAAGAAACAGAATGGGGAACTTGACTCATCGATTAGCGGACTCGTACAGACCATCTCCTAAGGCACTGACCTCCCACCGAGCAGATGCTCCATCACAGAGCCTGTGGCTCAACTCTTTTCCAGGAGTCACATGACCCGCAAGAAGGGTAGTTCTGCAGACCCACTTCTGTACTGTTGAAAGAGAAAATCAAAATGCAGCACCCCTTGCCCCCCACCCCCACCGGAGACACTGAAATACACGTGCTAAACACATTCTCTCCAGCCCGCCTGCTCCCCCCCCCCAACCCTCCCGCTTCCCACACAACCCACGTTGAAGAAGATTTAATGTATTTGGAAATCTTTCATTCACATTGTCACCGCTTTGAAGAAAAATGAGGACAGGTGGATTTAGGAAGCGCTTCCCTCCTCTCCAAATAGATACTTAAATATGAGTGATCATTTGGGAAACTGGCACATGAGTGAAACCCTTTTACTGCCGTTGCAGTCTTTGGGCCTCCGAGCTGCTGAGCCATTTGAGTGATCACATGACACACACCCTTGGTGGGCGGCGAGGAGGGAAAGAGACTCTTACCATTTCTTCCCCTGCCAGTCCCCCCACTGACAAGCCAAATTGATCTTTTAAGAGACTAAATGAATGTTCTGTAAATATATGTACACACATGGCTGTCTGGGAACCTATTCCTGTGCAGAATGATGTCCTGAAGTATGAGGGAGAGAAGTGTAAAGAGGCCGGCTTCGAGGTGGGCTGGAAGGGGTGGGG